ATTAACGAACTCAGAACAGTAAAGACTTTATTCTTACAAAGTTACACAAGTTACATCAAGTGAAATATTTACAGATAGAATAAATTCTCTAAGATAACGGTTTGTGAGGGCGGAAAACTAAGGATAGGTGCCGGTATGGATGCTATAAGCTGGACAAAGCATATTCAAAAGTAAAGTAGTAAAATTTCTTTAAGGGTGGAAGCCTTGGCAGTTCAAAAGCAATCCGATGGACAATTGCCTCATATTCGGGGGTTGACCAAGTTGACATAGTCAGACTATAGCTTTTAGAATTTGGGCGGATGCAGGGTCATATATTTGGTCAAGATGCCCAACGGACTTATTTCCACGGGAAAGGGTCACAGGATACTATAACTCATTTGTCAAAGCGAGTGTGCTTAATTGAAAAAAGATGTGACTGGAATCAAGAATACAGCAATATTAAAAGAATCATATTTACAAAGGCTATTATAAAGTCTTTTATCTCGTAGATAACGTGTTAATTTTCTATATACCCTCTTAAAAGTCCTGTACTTGGGAGTCCAAAAAGAGGATATGCCACGCTTTACTCCTGCAATTTTGACTCTGCCATTGGTAATTTAAACTGTTCAACATGAACAGTCCTCATTTTCCTGGGGTTATTCAAACTTTGAATTGTGAGTATATTGTGTTTTCGAATAACTATCCCCTTGAATGGTTCCTTATGAAGCAATAACTCTTTCCCTCCATTGGATCATATTCTCCGATATATTATCTCCCTATTTAGATTTCTGGCTCTCCATAAAACTGAGCTAAAGCGCTCTCGATCAATCTCCAATTTCTTTAGTGCAAGTGAAGCAGTTGAGAGAGTAGAGCAGGGATATCATGAAGTCATACTTTTTCCCTCAGTATTTGGAGGAACAAGCTTGCCTCTGAGTTCCCTTGCCTGATTGTAAATAGTGTAGATAGGTATGTATGTGTTTTTTAAATTTATTTATCTTTATGTTAGTTAATTTTATTTATTGGATATACTTCATTATTATTTAGTTTTTTCTTCTGTTCATTTTTTGTACATATTGTGTGAATGTGATTTTACCTTCCTATAACCAATGTACAAATGACAAAATGTTATATTATTCAATAAATAAATAAAATTTAATAGATTATAGGGAAATATATTTAAAAATGAATTGTTGTCTGAGTTGTTTACTTGTTCCAATCGGTTATATATATCCATATGTTATGTATGTACCACTAGTATGTCATGTATAAGGTTACTGCAACCACAAACATGGAATTTATCATTTTGACATGATGTAATGTATATATAAATAAATTAAAAAAATTATACTAATAAACAAAAAAATTAACTCCCATAGCGGTATATCAGCAAATAAAAGCCGTTCTTCAGACAATTGTCCACACGATATTTGTATCTACACAGACGGGTCAAAAATAAATAATGCATCAGGCAGTGCAATATATATAAAATAATACATATACATATGAATAATACATACAAATATATATAATAATAATAAATAATACATATAAATAATAATAATATACTATTGGACATAATTAAATTACATAACATATCTACAAAAAAAGAAGAACAAGTGATGTTCATATGTATGCTCACATAGGGATCTCGGAAAATTAAAAAGTCGATAATTTGATAAAAGAGGTTTTTTACAAGTGAGGCAGTAAACATTTCGGTCCCATATACTGATTTCCATTTAATCATAAAAGAAGATAGTAGAAATAATTGGCAAGAAAAATTTCTACACTTTTTAACAGACCAGTATTACAAATCAATATTTTCAAACATTTGACGCCGACCAAGGTTTTCAACAATAAATCTGAATAAAGAGGAAATAAATATGTACTGTAGATTAAGACCAAATCACGAACTACACAATAGCTATTTAAACCTTATAGGGGTTTCGGATTCGGCGCATTGTGTAAACTGTATAAATCGTGAAACACTATACCATATTGTTATGGAATGAAAGGTTTGCAAATCACATACAAAAAAACAATTCCAATCCCTAAACAATAGCAACATCACTTATAAACAAATATTGTTAATGAGCAGCGGTAAACTGATAAGAAATTCGGTAAAATATTTTAAAGTAATTAGGGAATATATTTAGTTTACTATGAACTAAAAATGTCAACTGAATTTTCTATCTGGCTGTATGGATTTGGACCGCCTAAAGGCTGTAAGGAGAGTGGGGTGGCTGAATTAAGGAATTCTTCGATTGCTGACGTGTGGGTGCGGTTGGATTCCTGATGAGAGATGGATGTAAGGGAAAGATGTTTGAAGAATTCCTCGGCTTTATCTTCATCAAACGCTCCCCTCGAGCCATCACCTCGACGAAGAGCATGTGAAGAAATATGTTGGGGTCTTAGGATATTTTTAGTGATCTTTCATAGGAAATTGTCATGAGCAGAGAGGAAAGTAAGGTAGGAGTTGAAGGATTGGGATCTGAAGGTGACCAATTCCTGCTTTAATTTTTTTGCAAAAATAATTACAGGATTGACGATCGGTGTGGTTACGGGTTATTGACGATGTTATTAGTGCTAAGATGAAAGGAATTTACTGACTCTTGCCTAATATCACACCCACTTTTGAGGCCTAGTATGGGATAGAGGAGTTGACACTTTGAAAATAAATATGGAAATGTTTAAAATTCTGAGCTAATATCTTTTATCAAAGATCAATCAAAGAAATCAAAGATCTCTTTTATCTGTATTTCAGAGATCTTGTCAAATGTGAAGGGTTAGGATGAAGAAGTGGAACCTGACATGGAAAACTTTATTTTCTCGCTTGATTGGAGATCCCATGATTCTTTGGTGAGAACAACGAAGATATTCTTCAACTGTGAATGCATATTTTCCGTGATACAAGTAAAACTTCATATAGTGTTGCAGTATTTGCACATAATGGGAATGATTTTTAATTTAAACAATTACAGTTAGTAAAAAACAAATGTAAGTTCTGCTACATCCAGGTTCCTAATAATATACAGATGTTCTCAATGGCCATGCTCTGGAGGGGCGATACTAGACAAAATTTCTAACAAAAAATTTCATTTAATGTATGGGTCGATTCCGAGCAGAAAAGGAGTCAAAATCGATTTTGTGTTTTTCTAAAGTTGTCAAGTTTTTTTATTGAATAAGCAGAATTTCTCAAAAACTGTTCAAGATAATTAAATTCTAACTACACCATCGTAAAATAAGCAAATGTTTCATTGAGAAAACAGTGATTAAATTTACTAAGGTCAGTGATAAAAGGAACTTTCAGGAGGTCTAAAAACGTAAAGCCCAGCTAATAAAGTAAAGCCGAATTATTTCACGAAACGGGATTACCGAGATATGTTGCTCGGGTATGAGTACTGTAACACAGTAGTAAAGCGGCCATATTTGACCTCCTGAAAATTCCTTTTATCACTGATCTTAGTAAATTTAATCACTGTTTTCTCAAAGAAACTTTTGCCTACTTTACGATGGTGTAGTTAGAATTTAATTACCAGTTTTTGAGAAATTCTGCTTATTGAATAAAAAGCGTCACCAGTTTAAGAAAAACACAAGATTGGTTTTAACTCATTTTCTGTTGGGAATCGGCCTATGCATCAAATGAACTTTTTTTTTTTAATTTTGTCTATAATGACCTTACATAGTTTGGTCATTAATAATTGAGATACCCTGTATACCTAAAAACTAAATTTTATTTCATAAGGGTTTAATAAAATTATTTGCACGCCAAAAAGTTCATGTCTTAATTAAATAACTCCAATTTGTTTCGTCCGAGGGCCCATAATTTTTCTTCGCAATAGGGATTCTGAGGGGACAAGTTGAACTGTGATAACTAAAGAGGAATAGCACTACTATCAACTGTATATAAAGTCCTTTCCATTGCTATTAGTAAGAGACTAGCGTCATGGGAAGAAAGAATTTGCGGGGACTATCAATGTGGTTTCAGGGAAAATAGGTCAACAGTGGATCATATCTTTGCTATAAGACAAATTCTAGAGAAAACATACGAGTATAACGTGGATCTGCACCATGTCTTTATAGATTTCAAGCAGGCGTATGATTCTATAGACAGCAAGGAATTACAGAAAGCTATGAGAATGCTGGGAATTCCTGAAAAATTGATTGTCTTGACAGAAATGACGCTAAGAGATACCAAATATAAGGTCAAGATTCAGAACGTTCTCTCAAACAGCTTTGCGGTAAAACAGGGCTTGAAGCAGGAGAATCCTATATCACCAATCCTCTTTAATCTAGCCCTGGAGCGGGCTGTTAGAGCAATAACGGCCAATCCTGGAGCGAGCATATTCAATCGACTTACTCAATGTCTTGCATACGCGGACGATATTCTTGTCAGCGCTCGCACATTGACGGCCCTTGCGGGACATATCGAAGAATTCCATGCGCCAGCAATGCAACTTGACCAGAGGATAAACGAAGGGAAAAGCCTTTACATGAAGCCCTTAAAGAATAATGTAGCTATGCATGAATATGTTCAAATTAATCAGCACCTTTTCCCAATGAGAACAGAATTCAAATACCTCGGAGTGATAGTCACTGATCAGAACAAAATGCAGGCTGAAACAAAGGCCAGAATTACAGCTGCCAATTAGTGTTATTTTTTGGCCTGGCAAAAATACCGAAATGGAATAAAAAAGAATTAATTTATAAAACCATTATAAGGTCAGTTGATACCTAAGGGTGTGAGACATGGGTTCTGACACAGGAAAATGAGAGGTTGCTGATAATCTGGGAGAGAAAAGTCCTAAGGAAAACATATGGTTCGAAGAAAATAAATTACCAATAAATGACCTGGCGGAAGCTTGTTTCTGACGTCCAGATTCATTAAGGACTGTCGAGCAAATTAATTATAATAAAAGGGAGCCTGAAGCCAATTCATTCATAACCTATTCTCTAAAGTCTCCTCCATTCATATAAAATCAGATATCTAAATACATAAAATACAAACAAAATGCTGGCCATACCTTTTTTTCTCTACCGCTTCTAAACATTTTGCTTTCAACTCCCAATAATATTCTAAAAAAGCTCTTGCTTCAATCCGTTCTGGACCGAATTGTTTGGACATAGCTTCTTCAGCAGTATATTCAGTACCAATAAATCCTTCTGAATAAAATTTTCAAAATAAGTAAATCAACAGATAGGCACAGGGTATTAATATTGTTTGTTAATTAATTTAAAACAAAATAAACAAATTTATTACGTATTTTTCTTTGTTTGACTTTCATTTTAAATTCATCATCTAAATTATCAGAAGGGTCCCATTCTTCTATTTCAGTAGTGACTGGATCCAATGGGTCATTGGCAAAGAATATTGGCTTCTGGGATAAAACTGGAGAGTCCTCTGATACCAAACTACTAAAAAAAAAAAAAACGCATTTTATTAAATTGTAAAGTAAACTTGTATAACATGGTGCGCTGGAACATGTAATTATAATCATCATAATAATTAATATGAATAAAAAGAGTTAAATTAATGGAATCGAATATTTCAATTTTTTTTAGCAATGTAGCCATTGGCGACTCACATTTAAATATTTCCCTATGATTCACTACAACATTATCTATTCATAGGAAGAAATTGAAAATTTTAAAATATGTACTTTCTGAGAAAATTGAAATTGAAACTTTATATTTAAGCTTCAAAAAAATAAGTTTAAATTAACCTATACAGTGTTGTATATCATGACAATGAACATGGAATGACCCATTTTGGGCCTACGTGCAAGTACGCCTTTTTTTTTTTATTATATTTTAAAAATTTTTATTAAATTTTAATTTGTTAAGCTGTTTTATATTTGGATTGAATTTCATTCTATATGTCTCAACTTCCGTTCCTTTATTAATAAATGAAATTAGTTTGTCATACGCTTTTGTACTTTTTTATGATTGGTGTCAATATAAGTGTAATTGAAAACTTACTTATCCAGAATAGGGTTATTTAATGCTGTTGCACCAATTGAATCCATCTTGAAAGTTCAATCTATAACGGTTATTACATAAATTATTAAAAAGACTTAAAAAAGTATAATAAAATAATAATAATCTCAATAGTCAATAGTCCTAAGAGGATAATAATTTATAATTATTCCTACTAGTCCTTAAAATTTAATTATTTTATGGCTATAAATCATTCTAACCCTCTTTAAATTTCCTAGACCTTTTTTTTTATTATTATTAAGTTTTACTTTAAGATATGTTATTTTCAAAAATTAAATAAAAGAAATAAAGGCGTGCAAGTAGCCACATTGAATTGGCTGGGTGCTATAGATTCAATTTACAAAGGAACATTTCCAATGTGAGTTTTTGGACTTTTCACTTTTATTTGAAATTGTGGTGATTGAATTTTACTATACCAAATGAATATGAATATAAATAACATGATCCATTTTTAGCTCACTAATTTTAATGAATTTATCATTTACAACAGGGGTGCCCAGAAGGGGGTTTTATAGCGCCATCAAAATTTTTAAGGGGGGCATATTTTGACGGATTTATGGGATATGGGATTTATGGGATTTACGGATTTATGGGGGCTACATTTTAACGGGTGTATGAATTTTCGGAATGAAGGGAAAAACATGGAACAGACAACAGCAAGTATAATTGGGTATGATCTACGATTTTTTAAATTCTACTTTCCTATGCTCTGTTTTTAAGTAAAGTGAGCAATAAAATACCTTGGAGGGGGGGGGGGTCGATTCTTGTGCCATGCTTGGGGGGATGGGCACCCCTGATTTACAATAATTACTAAATACATGTATGCATTATTATATTAAGAAATACTAATAGTACATTTATTTTATAAATTTCGTTAAACGATCATAGTATACGTAAATTATTATTACCGAACTAATAATCTCTCTCTATTAAAGGGGACACAATAGCAATAACTTCATAATTAAATGGTTTATCATTGATGATTTAATAACGATGTTTAACTACGGTCATTTTATATATATTTTTTTCTTTCAAATACAGTAAAACTCAAAGTGTACCTTGAATATCTTCATGTGGCAGTAAAACTTCAGACTGAATATGTTAAGTTCGTTTATCTTTAGATTAAAATGTTTACAAAACAGTTGAGTCAGATTACAATAGGTCTTAAGACTTTGTTATTTCACACAGTTATTAGAGTTATCATTTTATTTAATATAACCTATTTTATACAAAATACGATAAACACATTAATCAATAAAACAGGTATATAGGTTGATTTACATATGATCCGTATCTATTAATGTACATATTTTTAAATGTATACATATTTATATGTAATATAGGATAGTGAAGATTCGTGTGAGAAAGACAAGTTTGAGCCACTTTTTAAAAACAATCAAATAAATTTCCAGGAAATGAAGCATTTTTAAATTTAATAAATCGGTCGAATAGTTTTTTTTATTTTTTTTTTTTAATCGATCTTGTTTTCCTATGATGCTAGTGTTTCTGTTTCTTGTTTGTGTCCGTTTAGACATTTCACAAAATTATAAAAATACAATTATCTAAGTGTTTTTTCCCTATATTTGTTTCTTGTATTTGATGTTTGCCATCTTCCGCGGTAAAAGGCGAAATAAAAAAATCTGATGTGCGCATAACACAATTTTCACTCTCCGCTCTACTATAAATATAAATTATTTTCTGGCATTGTTGGGCTATTTCAAAGTTTTTGAAGTGTTTTTCTAACGGAGCTAAAGCTTAAACTTTACCAGTAACCAGTAACAACTCATTAAGTAATTAAAAAACTCGTACCTCCTACTGTTTTGTTAAATAACGTAACTCCAATCTCTGATCTATTTATGCCAAGAGAGATTTGAAAGTACATCTTACAGTTAATCTAGAAATGATTATGGATTATAATACTATAAGTAATTAAACGCATATTTTTCCATTTAGCCCAGTCAAATTAGCACAAAAAAGAGGGTCTACCTTGCAAAGGTCGAGTAATTCAAATTTATTTTTTATGTTGTTGGGTATGCAGTGACTATAAAAAATCCAAGTTTCCGCCCTTGAAAGCCTTGTGGGTTCGCTGCAATGCTCCAAAATATTTTGAAATTTCTAACTTTTTTTTGGTTTACGCTAAATATCTTCTTTTTAAAGCGGCATAGATAAAAAAAGGTTATATTCAATCTTAAACAGCTTAAAATTATCTAACATTTTTTTTCTAAACCCAACAGGAAGTGAACTATCGAGCTTTCAAAATGCGTAAAGTTTTGAAAAAATTAAATTAAAAAAATGACAATTAAATTATTGTATTAATATTTGTTACTTAATACAATCAAATATTAATACAGTCATTAAAGCACTATAGCTATGCCATTTCACTTAATAATTTGGTAGAGGACTCTAGATGTCCATTTTCCGCCGATTAAATGTATTTTCTAAGTAGCTGCTTCAAATATTATAAATAGTAACCAGTTTTTTGGAAAGAGAAATATATTCTCCAGAAGTTATATTTTAAGGCGTTTTTAATTATTGTTGGCTGCTTATTTACAAACGACGCTTAATTTCCAACTTTAGTTTGAACGATTTGAAAAACTTGAATTTACTGGTGTTTTTGATTGCCAAGGCTTATTATTTGTTAATATATTTTCATGTTTTATTATTTTCTAACTATCCAGATTTAATAAATGACCAATTATGGCGAAATTAAGCCAAATGCCAAATCTTAATGACCGAAAAACTAACTGAAGTTAATGACTTCAATCTGCTGTGTTTGAACATCATTTTGGGATAATACGGCCACTTTTTCATATGGGAACATTAGCCTACGATATCTATCGATAAAGGGAACACAACAATATGCATGGGATGTGGAGAGAGGGTGAATGGTGAGGGGAAGGGGGAAGGGCCCACCGTCACAGTGAATTTCACAGAAGGTCTCTGGGGCACTGCCGCTTCAAACTTCGAGGAGGATTGTAAGGATGGGTGGTGCTGGATAGAGATTGTGCAAGGGGATTTGGATGATAGGTAAGGTTGTGGTGAAATTTGGAGAATTTTTCTGGGATAAGGTCTAGGACAAATGGGATATTAAGGTCATGGGTGCAGGGTTTTGTTAGTTAGATAGAATGGAGCATCAACTATTGTCCGAAAGATTTTAGATTAAAAGGATTGGATGCGTTTGATGTTAGAGAATTTGGTGTTCCCCACAGTTCAAGTCCATATGTCCATATAGGTTTCAGGATTGTCTTGTAGATAAGTAATTTGTTTTCAATAGAAAGTTTAGATTTTCTGTTTAGTAGTCTGTATAGCTGGCCGTATCGTCGGTTGAGTTCTTGTCTTTTGAGTTTAGTATGTGGGTTCCATGTTAGTCTTCGGTCTAAATGAAAGCCAAGATACCGGACTATGTCTGAGTAAGGAAGCTGGATGGAATTAAATAAAGTGTACTGGTAGACAGGACTGGCGTGTTGTGAGGAGTGTAAAGGTAATGTGTTGGCATTTAGATTCATTAACTTTAATGCGCCAGTTATTACACCAGTGCTCAATCAAGGTGAGGTGCCTTTGGAGATTTAAGGATGCTATTTTTGGGTCAGAGTTGGATGATAAGATTGCGGTGTCGTCAGCGAATGTTGCAAGGAAAGTATCAGGATGAACAGGGATGTAAGCAGTAAAGAGGATGTAAAACATGGGACCCAAGACGCTGCCTTGGGGAACACCGGCTATAACAGAGTAGATATTGAAAAATTCTGTCCCACAGCGCACTCGAAAGGAGCGGTCAGAGAGGTAGGATCGGAGGACTAAGTACAAGGACTGAGGTAAATGGATTTTAAGCTTGAAGAGCAATCCGGCGTGCCATACCCGGTGCAATGCCTGTGCAATGTCCAGAAAATCACCCGAACAGTATTCCTTAATTTCTAGACCTGAGGAAATATGATCAACAACTCGGAGTCCTTGTTGAACAATAGAATGTTGAGGGCGAAAACCAAACTGATGGGAAGAAATATTTTGGGATTCTATAATGGGTAGAATTCGTTTCAAAAGGATCTTTTCAAAAATTTTTGAAAGGATTGGGAGTAGGGTAATTGGTCTATAGGATGTTGAGCTATTGGGAGGTTTGCCTGGTTTTGGGAAAAGGTTAATAGTGGAGTGTTTCCATAACAGAGGAAAGTGGGTGGTGCGTAGGATGCAATTGTAGATATTTGTAAGGAATATGACTGGATGGAAGTTGTCAAAGGATTTGAGGGGTAAGGAAATCATGTCTGGGAGCTTTACGGGGGTTTAGTTTTTTAAATTGAAATTTCACTTCAGAAGGATGATTAGCTTTTAGGGGCAAGGAAAGTGGGATTGGTGATGTAAGGAGTTCTTCTACTGTTACGGTGTGGGCAGGATGGGATTCCAGATGTGCAATAAATGTATTAGATAGGTGAATGGCGAACTCCTCAGCTTTATCTTGGTCAGATGCTGCCCAGGAGCCATCATCTCGTCGGAGGGGATGGGAAATGTGGTGAGGATTTAGGATTTTTGTTGTGGTTTTCCAAAGGGAATTGTCTCGAGAAGAGAGGGGGGATAGGTAGGAGTTGAAGGATTGTGATCTGAAGGTGGCTAATTCCAGTTTTAATTTTTTGGAGTAATAATTATAGGAGCCGACCGCTGCTTATTATAGGATGTCGAGTACGTTGCCACAATAATCTGGTACGGCGTTTGATATGGATTAGGTTAAGGAGGTGTTGGGGTAGAATGGTCTTTTTAGGAATTCTTTGGGAAGGAGGCGGCCCAGGCAGATTGTTGAATTGTGGTAGTTGACGGCACTATCAAGGTCATCGGAAGTTTTTAGGGATATGTTGAGATCAAGTTTATCGGTGATGATTTGGCGGAAAAAGTCCCAGCTAACTGGGCCCCCTGATAAATGACGATGGAGAAGGTTTGGGAACGGCCTCAAGTGAAACATGGACTATGGTCAGAGGATAGTTCATTTAGATGTGTAATGGAACAATTGAGAGAACCTAAGCCGCTGTGGATAAAGAAATCAAGGATATCAGAATTACAGTTAGGATCTGTGGGCCGGTAGGTAGGAGAGTTGGGAGAAAGTAGGTGAAACCGTTGGGAATTAATTGCAGACAGCAGGGTTCGGCCACTAGAATTCATAGTTCTGGAACCCCATTGTTGGTGCTTGGCATTTAGGTCTGCACCCAAGATGAAGTGATGTCCTAAGGAGTCGAGGAGAGAACTGAATTGGGCATTGGATATGGATCGGTTATGAGGGCAATACGCTAATGCAAGGGTAACCAGAAAGGAGGTTGTTATCACGATAGCGGTGGACTGTAGGAAATCATGTATAGGTAATGGGAGTAGGTGATGGGAGAGGGATTGGTGTACAATGACAGCAGTACCGGCATGTGCTTTTCCGTCTGGGTGGTCAGTACGATATGTCAGGTATTGTGGTATTTTGAAGTGCTGTTTAGTGATTAATCGAGTTTCAGTAATTAGTGCCATGTCAATGTTCTTGTCAAGTAATAATGTAGTTAGTTCGTTTGTACGATTCCTAACACCATTCGCATTCCAAAGGAGAATGGATATAGGTTTATTGGAAGTCATTTAAGGATTTTTCAGGGAAGAGATAAAGTGTAATACAAGATTGGTGAGAAGAGATATCAAAGGAGTAACAAGGGATCTGAATTCGGAAAGGAAAGATGTAAGTAAACTGGTGAGATCTGTGGTATTTGATGGAGGAGGAATGTGAGGAATTTGGTGTTGATAAAATTGTTGATGATTAGGTGAAGTTTGATTAGGTTGTTGAGGTTGGGGTTGAGAATTTTGAGGTATATGTTGTTGTTGCGGCAGGGTCTCACAATTAGTAATATCACTCTTACCTCCTAATAGGTGTGCAAAAGACACCGTATGGTCAATTATTTTTGAAGCTCCTCTTCTTGATGCACTAGGTTCTCTTCTTGATGCCTCTGCTTCTTCTTGGGTCAGGGATTTTTGATATCTTGATTTGACATTCTTGTAGATCTGACAGCCTTTGTAGTTTGCTGGATATCCTTCAAGGCACAAAGCACAAACTGCAGGATCCCGTTTCGGTTTTGTGCACTCCCCGGATTTGTGCTTCTCTCCACATTTCACACAGCGCGGCAGATGAAGGCATTAAGTCTTGGTATGGCCAAATGCCTGGCA